GACTCCTGGGTCACATAGTCCCACAGGCTGTGCACAGTCCCTGGGAAATGATTGACAGGAAATGGTCTGCAGAACTGTGATTATTTGGGATTTGTTCTTAATGTGATGCTGGTTCCTTTCTGTTCCTTTAATGCCATTTTGTATTCACGTAGTTCAAAGTTCTTTACAAACAGCTAGTAATTAATTCAATTTCATTAAAGCCAATTAATCCAGGATTAATTATAATTTTACCCAGAGGAAGTTATTATACTTTGCTCTTTGATTTCAGTTTTGCCTTTTAAAGATTCTTTTAGGAGTGAAATGGAAATTTCCCTTTTCTCTGAGGGTATCTACCTTGCCAGTGATTGTGTTAACCATTACCTTCCTCCATATGTCCCATAATAACCTGGAATGAGATTGTCACCCAAGCCACCAGCCATGTTTCATGGCATTCCCAGCACTAAACAGAGCTGCTAATGCCACCTTAGTCACAGGATGAGAAAGATGATGTCCTGGAGAGAACTAGTTCCATGCAGGTTCAAATCATGGCCCTACCCCATGGTAACTGTGAAACTCGCCATTTCTTCCATCTCCATGTGGATATAATCATATTTTGCAAGATCATTATGGTCTGTAATGGTCAGCATCCACTCCCCCTTCTTCTGTAAGACTCCTTGACTCTCCTAGGAGATATCTCACTTCCTTTCCTCTAGGTCACTGTGGGTGTTGACCCCACTCTAGCTCTGAGCATGAGCCTGAGACTCAGATCCATTCCACCAGCCTTGACAATTGGGATTGGTAGTGAGCATGTAACCTAAGTTAGCATAATGGGAGAAAAACCTGGAATTTTGTCCAGAGCAAGCAATACAAAGTGTGCCCTCTGATACTGGATTAAAACTTGGGTAAATCAGTTTGGGTTGTAGTGGAATCCCAGGAGGGGATCCTGGCCATGGCAGAATAAAAGCCCTTCAAAGAGGTCCGTATCCTGGCACTTGTGAGTATGATACCCAAAATAGTAAAGGGGACTTGGTAGGTGTGATTCAGTGAAGGATCTTAAGATGGGGAGATAGGCTATCCTGTGGGCCTGATAATGTTAGGGCCAAAACTAGAATATTGAGGACTAGCTTTAGTTATAAAAAATACTAATTATGCTCTGCTAACTGTGATTGCCTTGTTCTGATTAAAGAAAGGGCATTCTAATCTGGCTGGGAGTTGTATGCCACTGGACCTGGGAGTCAACCTTGGACCTGGCAGTCAACCTGGACCTAGGAGTCAACCTTGGAATGCGGTTCATTCCCAATCATTAACTGCCTATTATCATGTTGCCCAAACAATGGAGTACTGTCCCAGCATGAACTGCGTACTTCCCCGTGCCTGTAAAAGCCATTTTGCATACCCATTCTTATTCCTTTTGCCTACTTTGCCATGTAATCTTTGTCCTACCTAATATAAGCAGCAGGTGTATGGGGGGTTGGAGAGCAGATTTTTTGGTGGATCACCTGCTGCTCTCCCATACAGCAAGCATTAATGGAATAAACACTCATATATGATTCAACCCTATCTCTGCTTAATTGGCTCAAGTAGTGACAGGCAGCCCAGACCCATTGGTTGTCTGGTTACAATATAATCACAAAGGTCCTTATAAGAGGAAGGCAGGAGGGTCAGAACCAGAGAAATGACATCAGGAGAAAGACTCTAGTAGCCATTCCTCTTTTCGAAAATGGAAGGTCATGAACCCAGGAATGTGGACAGCTTGTAGAACCTGGGGCGGCAGGGGGTGGGGCTGGGAGAACAGGTGCAGGGTGGAGGGGTGAATGGGAGAAAATAAGGGAACATCTGTAATACTTTCAACAATAAAGATAAATTTAAAAAATTATGTTATCTAAGAAGAGAGCTAGTTTGACTTCTTGCTTTCCAATTTGGGTGCCTTTATTTTCTTTTTTTTTTCTTGCCTAATTGCTCTGGCTAGAACTTCCACTACTATGTTAAATAATAGTGGCAAAAGCAGGCATCCTTGTCTTGTTCCTGATCTTAGGAGGAAAAAAATTCAGTGTTTCAACATTGAATATAATGTGTTTTAAGAAGGAAAGGGTTTAGTAAGTTTATATCCTGTGGGGAATTATCAGGGAGAACAGATGAAATACAAGAAAAGGAGGGTAATAGGTATATTGAGGCCTCTGAGAGATGAAATGGGGCCCAGATTATTATCTGAAAGCCAGTTAGTAGGGTTACCTTGACTAGGAGGAAGACATGTCTGTACTTAAATCAGTATACAAGAATAATCCAGCAGTTTAGGATAGAGATTAAGAATTGTTTCCCAATCTAGCTTCTCCCTCTTTTTACACAGGAAAAGAATTTTCAGTGGGGCACATATCTTTCCAGCTAAAGACTACATTTCCCAGACTCCCTTGCAGCTATCTGATTAAGTCTGACCATTGGGATATAAGTAGAAATGATGGTGCAACTTGAGGTCAAGGTTAAAGGGAAGGAGCATACCTTCCATTCCCCCTTTTCTCCTTGCTCGTTCAAACATAGCCTTTTAGGAGAAGCTAAAGCAGACATCTTGGACCATGGGATAGAAGGTATGTGTGGGAATATCCTAACTAAACAATACTTAATCATTAGTTGGGCAGCTCTGAGTGCTCAGCTCAAGCTGGAGACCATAACGGTGTAATGGGCCATTGAATAATTACCTGCTGACATACACAGCAGCCTTCATGAGGCAGTGGAGAAGGCAGAGGTAGGTTTGACCTGGGACTGTGGGTTCAAAGGTCAGGTGTGAAAGAAGTCAAGTCCAGGAGGGAACAAAGGGTTGGAAACCAAGTGGCTGAAATGAACTTACTTGGACTGGAGAAAAGAAAGATGGATGGATTGGAGGTGAAAGAACAAGGATCATGGGAGTGAGAGAGTTGGTAGTCCTGGGGTTTTCACACAGCACAATTCTGGAATGTCGCAGTCCACACCATTACTTGCATATGTACCATTGTACTAATACGGATTTTCAGTACCCAGATAAAAACCTAACTCAGACTATTTTAAGCCCCAATTTCAGTGTCGTATTACATTGCAAGTAGGGCAAGGCTGGATAAGGGAATGTAAAGGATTTCATCAGGAATCTCTTTTCAGCTTTCCTCCTCTGTGTTGGCTGCATTTTCAGGCAGAGTCTTCTCATGAAGTAGCAAAGATCACTTGGACACCCATGAACCAATATATAAAAAATATGAAAGTGTCAGGACTGTCCTTTGATTGCCCACTCACATTCTCAAACCCATCTCCATGTCCAGGAGGATGGGATACGTTGATAGGCCAGGCCAGGGTTCTGTGTCTATTCCTGAAACAATCCTGGGGGGTAGGGTCAACCCATCCAAACCACTTAGACTCAAAGCATGTGGTTCTCTAAAAAAATTAGTGATGAGAGCCAGAGGAAGTTGGTTGGATTCTGAGTAGGCAAAATAACCCATGTCCACTACTGCAGGCCTCACCTGCCCTTCATTCAGCTTGTGTATCTCAGACACTGGCCCACCATATAGACATCTGTCTAAATAAAAGGCACTATCGGGATCTGCAACCAGGTCCAGCTTTTTTTTTTTTTTTTTTTTTTTTTTTATTGATTTCAGAGAGGACAAGAGAGAAAGAGAGATAGCAACATCAGTGATGAGAGAGAATCATTGATCGGCTGCCTCCTGCACACCACACACTGGGGATCAAGCCCGAAATCCAGGCATGTGCCCTGACCGGGAATCGAATCGTGACCTCCTGGTTCATAGGTTGATGCTCAACCATGGAGCCACTCTGGCCACCCAGGTCCAGCTTCTTTGCACCCCAGATCTGGGGTCTGGGACTGTCAGGCAATTGATCAATTTGTGACGTTGGACAGTTTCCATCCCCTTTTAGGGCCTCAGTTTCCTTACCTGTAAAGTGAGAATGCTAAGTCAGATTGGTGATTTTTAAAAAATATATTTTTATTGATTTTAGAGAGGAAGGGAGAGGGAGAGGGAGATAGAAACATCAATGATGAGAGAGAATAATTGATTGGCTGCCTCTTGCACGACCCCCACTAGGGATCAAGCAGGCAACCAGGGCATGTGCCCCCAACTGGAATCAAACCCAGAACCCTTCAGTCTGCAGGCTGACACTCTATCCACTGAGACAAACCAGCTAGGGCCAGATCAGTGATTTTTGAACTGTTCTTTAGCAGTAAAAAATGGAAAGAGCTTTGGTGGAAGGGAAGGTAGGGGCTTGGAATTAGTATCCTATACTCTCAGCCTTCCCCCTTCCCATTCATACTGGCCATGAAAGAATTCTACAACTCTAGCAAATGTGGTTTGAAAACCACTGCACCAAGTGCTCCTACGGATTCCTCTGAGCTCCAAAGTCCTTATCCTACCACCTTCTTACATGGCTGAAAGAAAATCTTTCTCTTTACTTTGTGTCAAAGTTTGGGGCTTAAAATAATAAATGTATAGTGGTCTTCTCTCCTAACTGGATAATATGTAAGGAAGTTAGTTCCTCAGAGTGCCTCACTGTGACTACTAGATGAAAGACTCCCTACTCCACAGGGTAAAAGCAATTACTATTCACCTCTGAATGACTAGGAATGTCAATGAAATGTTAAGTGATCTTTTGGCGTGACCTAGAGGTGATAACTATAGGGTTAATGAATCACAGGCCACCAGTAACAAACTCAGCTTTCCAAAACCTTGCTTCTGCTTTTTCAGGCTCTAAAAATGCCAAAGGTTCCATTCACTGACAGAAACCACTACCAAGTCCCTTAATATCCAGTGTGTAAAATACATGCAGCAAAACTGCATGACTTCCAGCCGGGCCGGTGTGACTCAGTGTCAACCCATGAACCAGGAGGTCATGGGTTCGATTACCGGTGAGGACACATGCCGGGTTGCAGGGTGGGAGTGATTGGCTGGATGAGTTGGGCCTCCCTAGGGAGACACCAAAGTGTGGAAGTCAGAAAACTAAGCAAAAGTCAAAGCTTGTTTCTCCAAATCCAAAACGGAGGTAATTACCTGAGCTTCTCGAAGGATATGACGTTCCAATACGAAATGTATAGGATGGCACGATTATGACCCTGACCTCCTGGCAATGCCTCAGCCCCAGACCAAACCGCAGGCGCAGCTGGCCAGTCTGTGTTGCACCGGCGTCTCTACCCCGCCCAAACGCCGGCTGTGGGGAATGGTAATCCGTGGACACAGACGGAAGTAGGGCGGCGGAGCCAGACACGAGCCAATGAAGAGCGGAGGCGTTCCCGCCTCCGCCAATAGAGCGCCGAGCAAGGCGGGCCCTGACAAACCGCCTAGTTACGGCCGCATGGTAACCGGGGTTCCGGGCGTGGGTTACTTGCTGCTGGTTTTCCACGCTGGTCTTGGCTCCCGACCTGTGCAAGATGAAGATTGAGGAAGTAAAGAGCACCACGAAGACGCAGCGCATCGCGTCCCACAGCCACGTGAAGGGGCTGGGGCTGGACGAGAGCGGCTTGGCCAAGCAGGCGGCCGCAGGGCTCGTGGGCCAGGAGAAC